GAGAGGACGGTGGGGCTGAGCCGGCTACAGCTTCCTCTCTGGGGTTTTTCTGAGGGGTGCAACTGCAGCCAACATTTCTAAGACAAGAAGTTTTCAAGTCAAATGTTGGGTTTGAGTGGAGGCCCCCAAGCCTGAGCTCCTGTCCTTCCTGCCCCTGCGGCTGCAGCTGGGGTTGGCAGGGCTTAGCTGGAGCCGTGGGACGTGTCCTCCTACCCCGTGCTCCAGCCTCAGCTGTGGGGCGCCTTCTGGGGTGACAGCTCCGCAGGCGCCTCCGGGTGCGTGGGAGCGCTTGGAGCTTCTTCAGGAAGGTGTTGCTCTCTCCTCATGGAAATGGGCCGCGTCGGGATGGTGGGACCCCAAGGCCTCCATTCCCGTGAGAGCAGCCAGCCCGAAGACCGTGCCCGGCTCTGCCTTCCTCCAGCGCTTCCCGTGCCGGCCGTGAGCGCTTTTAGAAAAGAGAGAAACCCTCCAGGTTGTCTCGGGGGGTTGAGGGCTTGGGGCAGCTGCTGCCTTGCGAAGGCAGGTGTGGGGACGTGGGTGCAGTGAGGGGAGCTGGAGGAGAGGGAGCTGCGCGAGGGACACGATGGGGCTGCTTCTGCTCCTCTCTTCCTCCTTAACCTCCGGGAGGGGACCCCTTGGTGCAGAGGAGAAGGAAGGACCTGAGCTCCCTTCCTCCAGTTCACCCCTTCCCTCTGGGGCCTGAGGTTTCCTTGTCCGTGGCGGAAGGAAGGGTTGGGGGGGGTGTTTTGGAAGGAGTGCGATTATGGTAACAAAAGCTTTTTGCACTTTTCATTCATTTTGCACTCGATTTTTAATTTTTTTCCCCCATGCATTTTTGATATTCACACCTCCTCTTTTTGTTTTCGTAACAAAAAATACGTCTGTTGTAGCCAGTGAAGCTATTCTGGAACTTTGTGTCCTGAGTGTACAGAGGTTTAAAGGTCCTATATATATAAATTTATGCCTGTATGAAAGTAAATTTATATATATAGATCATGGTGTGATGTGTTTTGTCAGTGTTTTAAAATAATAAACGAATGTGAGCAATGGCAGCCTGTGCTGCTGGAGCCTGGTTATTCAGACCTGGTGCCCCCCCTGCCTCCCCCCACCCAAGAAAGACGATTGTCCCTC